CTTGATGATCCTACTCTTCTCCTTCTTGTTACTTCGTTAGTCTTATCTAGGATTGATTATTGTAACTCGCTCTACTATGGTCTTCCTGACTCTATACTCTATCCTTTAAGTAAAGCTTTTAACTCTGCTGCTCGTCTAGTTGCTCGTGCCCCTTTCTTTTCTCATATATCTCCATATCTTGTTCTCTTGCACTGGCTACCTATAAAATATAGAATAATTTTTAAAATTTGCACGTTCATGTATAAGTCTCAATCTAAATTATTTCCTAAGTATTTATCAGATATATTAATTGAACCTAAACGCCCCGGTTTACGATCGTCTTCTTCTTCTCGCTTTTTCTTAACTCGTGTTAAACACTCTTTTGCCAAATCTGCTTTTGCTTTTTCTGGCCCTTTTCTCTGGAACTCTCTACCTATTTCTCTGACTACTTCCCCATCACTTGCAAAGTTCAGAGCGGATCTCAAGACCCATCTGTTTTCAAAATTCATTGAGGAGCGCGAACTTATGACATAATAATTTATGTCATAAGTTGCACAAGGAAGCAATTCACATCATCATTGTACATTGCAACATTCTTATCTATACAAAAAATATAAAATGCATTCAACAATATTTCATGTATTTTATTAAAACTTAGAAAGGGCATAATGACATTGTGAATAATAAATCCTGTTTAGGACTGGGATCATCATCATCATACCAATCACCATTACAAGTAGAGTCAATTTTATATTAATGCTTAACAAGTTAACTAAATTGGCATAATCAAGTTTTTATATGAAATACACATCAAGTTTTTAATGTAACAAATAAATTAACAGAAAAATTTCTGGAAAAGTTTAAAAAAATTAGAACATATGACTCTGATCAAAAATCATTCGCGTTGACACTGTATTTGTATGGGCATAAGGCATATGATTATCTTTGGACAAATGGCTTACATCTTCCTCACTTTAGGACACTAAGAAAATAATTTTGTCATACCTGTTCAATAATTTTAATAAGATTGTTTTAAATAACTATTCTCAATGTCATTTTATTAACACTACATTAAAAGGTGGCTACAAAACATTGATGGTATGCCTGGGGTGATTTCTACAAACCTTATTGACTAATTGTGATGGGGATCCTCTGGAACTGTAGGGCCATGACATTCAATCTAGTCATGGATTGAGAAATCAATCCTTGATATATTTAATAACAAACATTTATTATAATATAAGAAGCATTAATCGAAGATAATATAAACTTTTGTAGATTTTCGAATATAATAATCGTCTCAAAAAGAGTAGTAGTACATTATTGATTTCAAAAATTTTCGTCGAATCAAAAAATTTCTAAAAATTTGTGATTAGGTTTATCCTTGCTAATTAAAATATAGCAATCATCTGAGGCATTTGTTGCGTGAGTGGTCTACTTTGTGAAGAATAATTGCTGGTTAATTGGTGCAAAGATTGGTGCAAAAATTGGTGAGTGGTCTACTTTGTGAAGAATAATTGCTGGTCAATTGGTGCAAAGCAAAAGCAAATCGCCATTTATTGTTAGAAAAACCGTAATCAAAGGCAAAAAACATCAATATGTTGGAAAGAAGAATGTAACTTTGGAAGGATTTTATGTCAACAATGCAATAAAAATTTGGCATAGCCTGGCAATGATCATTTAGGAAAAGGATTTCAAAAGTTTCTATCAAATAAATATTTCATCTTTTTTCAATTTTATATGTCGTTTAATCGTTCATAAAAGATTTCAATTGTTTGTTTTTGCGCACACGTACGGATGTGCGCGTTTGTGTGTATGTGTACAAAGATCCCTAATATATATAAAAAGATAAGGAGCATCATAGAAACATACTGTATAAAGAAGAATGATGTAATCTAAGAAGGGTTAGTTTTCAACGTTTTCAAGAAAAACTTGCATGCGATCCATCGCATGTCGAGGATAATTTCAGAGAATGTATTCATACAAATAATTATAATCAATATAAATATGCATTTTTCACTGTCCTTATATGATTGAGCATTATGCTTATACATTTATTTGGCATGTCAGTAAACAAACATCGGATTTTGTACAGATTATTTCAGTAAAATAAATTAAATTCAAAGAACGATTGACGATGCAAGTTGATCGCTTTTTATGTCTTTCTCGAATGTTTCTTGCTGGTAAATTTTAGAAATATATTTTTTGTTTGTTTAAACAAATATTTGATCTAGATAAATTTAAAAATTTGAACAAAATAAAACTTTGGAAATATTCAGTTTTATGCCTGGCAGCACCCAAAGTTGAAGCTGCTCGAAACCTTGCACTCAACAAGTCAGCATGTAGCAGCTCAACCCATCCACATAATGTCAACCCTTCTCCGGCAAAAATGGTTGATGGCGATTCAAATCCTAATTTTTTGATGGGACATTGTTTTCACGGAATTGATGATCTTGGTGGTCCCAATTGGGCTGTTGTTGATCTTGCTGAAAATTACTACGTTGATTATGTTAATTTATATTCGAGGAATGAAGAGAGTAAGTAATGGAAATAACATTGCTTATTTTCAAAACGTAATTATAATTGGAATATTTTTAGAAAAAATGCATTCACGAGTTTAAAATATCTAATATAAATTTTATTTATAAAAATATTTCAAACCACATCAAAACATCACAAGGTGCAAGACTGAATTATTTTCTGATAGGGCTCACATCAGTGAATTATTTTCCAGCTGGCTCAAACATCACCAGAGGCACCTACCCTCTGTGTGGTCAGTACAAATACAAGGCAGTCTTAAGTGCCAAACACACTCTCAAATGTAATGCCAACCTGGCTTCGTATCGTTACGTTATCGCTCAACAGCCAGCTTCTGGACCTGGATCGCTCACCATCTGTGAAATGGAAGTCTTCGATGCCGATAAACCAAACTGTAAAAATAAATTTTTGTTTTGAAAATTGAAATCTATATTAATTTCAATTTTATAATAGCAAAGATATGGAAACGTTACCAGAATACTCGCTTGAACGGCTACGTCTCCAACGTGGAGACAGTGAGTAACATGTTGAAATGTTTGATGAGATGCGTTCCAGGCAAGTGCGACTCATTCAACTTCAAGCCAGCTGGATCAGTTTGTGAGCTGAACAGCCACTTGAACGGTTACATGCAGACCAATTTGAACATCAGTCTGGGCTGGAGTTTCTTGGAAGTTTGCTATGCATAATAATGGAGCGATCCATGTAACGTAATGCTTCTGAAAATTACATGAGCAAAATTTTTTTGACAATAATCGTGATTATTGCAATAATTTATTGAATGACAAGTCTATCTAATGCCGAATACATGCTGAAATGCAATGTTCAGTAAATCATTTTTGCTACGTGCTTAACTAAAAATAGAGCGGTGATAAATAATAATCGACGATATTTTGAAAAAATCTTATAAAAATAAAATTAAAAAGTACTAAATTTTTCATTTATTTGTTGAGTAATCTGATTGAAAGTTTTTGATGGGTTGACGTTTCATTGGTTTTATGATTCGGCTCTGTTCTTATACAGGAAAAATTATGCCATCTGCAGGTTATATTTCAACTCACTCACTCAAAGTTCGATATGCTAAATGTACGCGCAAGTAATAAATTCTAGGTAATGCGATGTTGGTTACTAGTGTTCTACTATGATTTTCGTTTTTTAGTAAAAATATTTAAACATTTGAAAAATGTTTAAGTTAACTAATCAGTTAAACATCGTTACATTAAGATTTATGGTAATATAAATAAACACAATTTAAACATTATTATAAACATAAACGAAGTAGCTAGTTGTGAATATTTGACAAGAGATATGTTTGGAGTTCCTTGTATTTTCCTTGCAAGTTTGTTTCTGCTTGACTTTTCTGACGCTTTCAGGAAAGGTAATTTATTTTGTTATCGCATTATTTTTAGTTAAAAGAACAAAGTAAAAATTGGTTCACTATCATCATTTTAACAATATTTACGTTTTCAAAGTCCGCTGACTGGCGGTAACGCTGAGTATCAATTATTAATATCCTTAAATTGAATAATATCATTTAGTCATATTCTTAAATTGTATATTATTAATGAAAATTTATCAAAAGCTTAATGGTGTTTTAATTAGAAACATAATAAATTTCGTCGGTAAGACACTACTTCATAAAAGCAGTCAAGTTGATAATAAAAATTTAAAAAATATTTCTATGTTTAATTGGAAATCCGTGTTAGATTACAAATTAAAGTGACAAGGTTTTATAAAGTATTGAATAATTTATAAATTAAATTATATTAATATTTACATGCTAAACCAATATATGAAAATAATTCAGTGAAATTCGCGTGAAAATGATTGAATGTTAGGCACAGAAGTGTTTGGCTATGTGTAAACATTGAGCATACTGTTTAAACCTTATATTATAAACAACCCGTGTGTTTAATATCAGTAATTAGATTGCTTCATATTCATATATTCATTTGTGATATTAGAAGTTTATTCAGTGAGATGGGTCCTTGAATCAATTATTAGATAGATGGATGACAACCGTTTCGAATAGGTTTCATTGTTTGTGTTATGTGGCTGTGTTCGTGATGGCGAACGGATTCGTGTTTACTCTTGCCTTAATTTTCGATCCTATATTTTCTCCTCATCATTGTCGTCGTCGTCATCATCATCATATCATCATCCAGATATTGTCATCATCATCCAGATATTGTCATCATCATCCCATCATCGCTCGGACAACGTCATCATCATCATCATGTCAACATACCGTCAGTAACGTTCTGACATTTTCAGAAATGTTGGCCCGATCCGGGAGAATTTAAACATATTCAAATTTTAGCTCACCCAATCAGAGATGTCTAGATCAGCAGCTGTTGTTACCATCACATTTTGACAAAACAATACAAAATCATGGCTCTCTTATATTTAAAATTTCAATAGATAAGTTGTTCAGTTTTTTTTCTCATATAAATTTCAACTTTTTTTAAAGTTTCTCCAACGCTGTTTAAAGGTAAGCCTCTTTTTTGATCTGTATTGAAAATTTTTTAGAAATTGGAAATTTTTTAATTGCTTTTGTTTCTATTCACGATTCATTAGTCGTCACACGGGTTGTTTATAATATAAGGTTAATATATAATATAAGGTTTATAATAAATGATAGAAAATCAAATGATTTTCAAGCATTTTTAACCAAACTTCAAATCGTCATCTCCTTATATAATCCACCTGCAGCATGTTATGTTCTTGTTTTTAATTTCAGTTTTAAACTTCATTTCTTCCAGACGAGGTTGACGATTATTTCATACGTTAGTCTAAATTTATTTTATTCATTAGTAGTTTATTATCCGCTTGTTAACAAGTTTCCAAAAGGAATTCTTTTCAATATATCCAGCATAAGTAAAAACATTTTGTAATAAACTGTCGATAAATAAATAATTTAATTAATTTATTAGTATACAAATATAGGAATATCCTTTTATTTTCTAACTCCAAATACCAAATATTAATAATGAAATAATTATAAAATCCTATTTAATATATTATTATATTATATATCCTATTCATAATAATAATAATAACAATAATAATAATAATAATATAATGAACTGAATAATGAAATTTAAAACAGCACCAGAGTGCAATGTAAGAGGCTGTAGGGAATGTCCGGATGGCCCTGATACGTGTGCGAAATGTCAAGCCCTGCACAAGCTGACCACGGACAGACGACGATGCATCTGTGAGTCAGTCTGCTGCTGCGTTATTTAATCGCTTTTATGCTTCTATTTTTTATATGTGTATGTGTTTGTTTGATTGAATGTGTGCGTGTGTATGCGTGTGTGTGTGTGGGCATGTATTTATGTGTGCATGTATGTGCGTGTGCCTATGTATGCGTGTGTACCAGTATGTGCATATATGTGTGTATGTGTGTGTATGTGTGGTGCTGCAAGCAGTAATGTGTTGCCACTAACAAATCATTTCATAGTTTGAAACTGGCTAACTTATTCATATGGATTTATTTAATAACTGGACTGAATTGAATTGTACCTCAGATCAATGCAACTCACACTTGTGCAGAGTATGTCCGAGCGGTATATGTGCAGAATGTTATCATGGGTACTACCTGGCCGATGATGAAACTTGCCACCGTATGTCCTTCGTCTATCTTTTTTGCACGTGCGAATATAAGAAAACATGAAAATGTTATTGAATGAATGAATGAATAAGTGAATGAATGAATGAATGATAAAAAACGAATGAATGAATGAATGATAAAAAACGAATGAATGAATGAATGAGTGAATGAATGAATGAATCAATTAATTAAATGAATGAGTAAATGAAGAACTGATATTGCATGAATGCTTAAATGAGTCACTGAATGTATGAACGAACACATCGACAATAATAATTTGATTATTAACAATTATAATGAAACATATATTTCCATTCCAAACAGTGAAGTTCAATCTGTTTGGAGGTTGTATAGTTTTTTATAATTTTATTTTTTAGTAATACGGTACTATTTACATCTTTCACATAATTCTTTGTGAACATTAAAGACAGAATCGTAGAAAGATAATCCTAAATTTAAAAAAATCCTTCTAGAAACATTTCATTCAATAAATCATATCATATCATAATGTAAAAGCATGTAATGAATGAATGAATGTTTGGATGGATAATCGAATGAATGAATAAACAAATAAAAAAAAAAATAAATAAATGATTGAATAAATGATTGAATAAATGATTGAATAAATGAATGAATAAATGAATGAATGAACAAACAAAAGAACAGTCATTAAAAATAATCAATCCAAACTTCGTTGATCAGATGCATGTCTTTCCAACGTGCCGAACTGTGGGTACTGCGATGATGGATACGTGTGCTCCTCATGCAGACCCGGCTATGAACTGCGGAATAACTCTTGCCTTAAGGGTGATTTTGTGTGTATGTGACTGACCACTGACTGAGCAGTAACTGTGACCAGTGACTGACCTGACCACTGACTGACCACTGACTGGTCAGTAACTGACCATTAACTGTTCACTGACTGACCACTAACTGACCAGTGACCAACTAGTGACAGACCACTGATTGACCACTGACTGACCACTGACTGACCACTGACTGGCCATTGACTGACCACTGACTGGCCAGTGACTGACCAGTGACTGAACAGTAGCAAATCTGGCGGATCTTACCGCTTACTTTAAAGATCACTATATTATGGCGTGAAAATACGTTAATATTTCTTGAATATTTTTTTTATCTCTGGGGGATGTTTTATCCCTCACCCCCCGTCGTTTCGTCACGGTACGTGACAACTTTGCAGATGTTATATTTTTCTCTGCGCACGTTTATGTTATGTTTCACTGGGACTGCTTTTTGGATTGAAATGTTTTTATTTATATTTTCAGAACCTACCACAACTACGAACACTAACTCCGCCGATACTAATAATTCTTATACTAACGCAGCCTATACTACTACTACTACTACTACTACTACTACTACTACAACTACTACCATTACTATTACTACCACTACTACTACTACAACAACTACTACTACTACTAGTACCATTACTACTACTACTACAACTACTACCATTACTATTACTACCACTACTACTACTACAACAACTACTACTACTACTAGTACCATTACTACTACTACTACAACTACTACCATTACTATTACTACCACTACTACTACTACAACAACTACTACTACTACTATTACTAATACTACCACTACTACAACAACAACAATTACTACTACTACAACTACTACTACTATTACTACCACTACTACATCTACTTCAACTACTTCTACTGCAACAGCCACTACTAGTACGGAGGCAAAAAGTAAATTTTTTCAATTGTTATTTGAAAAATTTTCGATTTTTTACAGAGTTTTTATTTATTCTCAGTTTTACTCACACACAAATATGTAGTTAGGTCGGTATTGAAAAGTTTTTGGGCCAGTCTTTCTGTAACTAGTTCATTCATTAACAAGTCTATACCAGTCAGCAACGAGCGGTTGTTAATAAGTGCTACCTTAGTAACGATAACAATAAAAATGATGTGTTATTATTGTTATCTTGCGTTGTATTAAAGATAACCTTATGACGTTTGAAACAGCAAAACCAACGTTGAGCTTCGGTAAGTTATTTTGCTAACAATTTTTTTTAGCCAAATGTTGGTATAAATAATTGAACTATTTAGTTTCATATCTTCAATAAAATACCTTCATGGTTTGAGCGAAATAATTTGCAAATGTTTCCAGATAGTGATGGCTGCGGGAAACTTCAATCTTGGAAGGCCTTCTACACGTTCATCTTTGTTAAATTTATCCAGTTTTTCGTTTTGATATGAAACGGTTGTCATTCATTTAACCATACGTTTTGTTGTGAATAAACTAAACAATGTGCCCTATCTCAGCGATATTTATAAATTCTTCATATTCATATTTCCAATTCTACTTGTTAGTAACTTTCAGTTAGTTTTATATCGTCCATAAAAAAACATCTTACTGAAAACGCAATGATATCTGCGTTTAATTGAAATGTGTCTTTTTAAATGGCTATTTTGTGTTTTAAAAAACGTTCAAGGTTAACTAGTATTAGCGTTGCTTCAAATGTTGGAAACTTCAATGTCATCCACATCTAAATACATTTTCAGAAATATAGGTCAATTGATTTGAATTGAAAATTTGACTATAATGTCATTATTCATGCTAAATTATATTATATATAATTAATATATATATATATATATATATATATATATATATATATATATATATATAATTTGAATGTCATCATGTGTTGTGTTCAATTAACAGTTGTCTGTATGTTTGCGTTTGCTTGCTTGCTTGTTAGTTTGTTTACTTTTTCAATTTTCATTTTATTGTTTTTCGTTGAATACGAAGAATGTTGCTGGCTCTTCGTTGTTTTCTAATTTTGCACTGAAATATCTATGCAAGGAATAATAAAGCTTTTAGAAGAAAATTGAAAAAGGCACTGCAAGCAAGTGAACTTTTCTGTTGTGCGCATTGTGTTGGTTTGAAATCGGTGTATGTTAATTAGCGTCGCGTTTGTTTAAAAACAACATTTCAAAAATAAAAATAGCAAAGTTGAAAACAGTGTAATTTAGATTACAAACTACAAATTTCAGTGTGCTATATTCTTAGCTGAATGAAATTCATGTTTAAAAATGCGGCAACTGCTGATTATGTTCTGGGTTTCGACTTCTGTTGAAATATCCTTGACTTTGAACCAGACCAGCAGTAACACCTACAAAGCGAAGATAGTGAAGAACTCTGGTGGCCTTCCGATGTGTTCCTTGATGGTTAGCGACTCCAGCAAACAAGTCAGATCGAAGGTGGAGTGTGCTGTCAAGTGCAATGATCTGAACTTCTGTTACGATTTCAACTTCAACGCAATCACTGGACAGTGCCAGATGTACTCAACCAACCAAACAAACTACGCTGTTAGACAGAAATGTTTCGGCTACAAGGTTGGTAGAATGAGATTATTCAATTTTATTTTTCATCATGTTCAACCGAGTTGAACTTTTTCTAATTAGTTAACTGAAAAGTGTGTTTTTAATAATTTAAAATTATGCCTTCGTTATAAATTCAGGTTTTCACGCTGACTGGATGCAGGCTCATAAAAAGAAAGTTTTTTGGGCATTTTTCACTGAAAATATATTTTGTACAATTTAGCGCTTCAAATAATAATAATAACCTTTTCAATGTTAAACTCAAAAATATTCTATAAAACATTTGGTAAAAATTAATATTGTTTAATTAAAATAATAATTCACATTAAACATTAAAAAAGACATAAATAAAACTGCATTTAGATGTTGCGAGTGTTGATGAGTGTGACATCCCCTTCACCTACGCTGGAAAGTTTCACACGGACTGCTCATCGCTCACCAACGACAAATGTTCAGCTTTCTGCTTGAATTCCAATTATGTTGTGATGAACTGTGATCCATCCATTGGTGAGATTTGTTGCAGTTTCATGAAGAATGAGTTTTTATAAAATAAGTTTTAATTGTAGATTGAATAAGTATAAGATTTGTTATCGGATACAAGTTGTTTATTTTATTTATTCACTTCATGGAAATTATAGTCCAGAATAGTTAAATTATATACGAACACTTGTAGACTACGAAAAAGTGTTTTTGAATGAAACGTACAACATCAGTGGTGTTCAAGTGAGCATTCAATCGATCAACCACTGGATCCTGGTCCAGCAGCGCCTTGACATCACAGTTTTCTTCGACTACAACTTTGCGACCTACGAAACTGGATTTGGCGATCAGACAAACTTTTGGATTGGGTTGATGAAAATTTACGATCTAACCAAGAACAAGAATTACAAAATCAGATTTGAAATGCAGTCTGTTAATAGTAATTGGTATTCGGCAGATTATTCCTACTTCTATTTGGACCCGCCATCAACTGGTTACGTACTCCAACTCGGGACATACATTGGTGATGCTGGTGACGCAATAAGGCTGGCCGCACCGAAAGGAGCCGTAGTTGGATATCCATTCTATACTTCGGAAACCACGCCAGCGAATTGTCGGAGTTCCACGAATGGAGGATGGTGGGTGAATTATTGTACTATGAGTAATCTCAATGCCATCCCTTCTTTAGCTGGCTGGGGTACGGTACCTTCTGTGTTTGTGCAAAAAACAAGGATCCTAGTCAAATCATTTAAATGATTCAACAAGATCTTTTATGACTTTCTTGTTTCAAGAAATAAATTATTTTCATATAAGCATGAACACATTTCTTTGTCAAATAAAATTTGTGGTAAATTTTTCAAATAGTTCAGCAGCACTTGTGGATTTTCTCACTTTTTTTAAAGAAATAGATACTAACAAACATTTGTGAATATTTTTGAATATTTTCTGAATATATTTAAATTATAAAAAGAATGAGCGTTATGCTTTTTCTACACTTAGGCATTGTTTTTTTTACTAGCAACAATAAAAAAATATATACCGAGATTTTGAAGGGAACCTTGGTTTAAAAATTAGAAATTCAATTTTTGATTAAAATTTTTTTTTAGTTAGTGAAATTGTTAATATATCTTAAAGTGGATTAATAATATTTCCTTATAAATAATATCCACTTTGCATTTGTTTTGTTCATTTTTTGTGGCCGGTGTCATCTTTATAGTTTAAAGATAACTGGAAAAGTTAATTTTTTATAGTTTAATTGCACAGATGTTATGCTAAAATAAATAATCTGTCATAAGATTTTTCAAAATAACCCATGCATGTTGAAGTTCATTAATAACGTTGAAATCTTTACAAAAATGTCTCCAGTTTTTCTCTTTGATTAACTCCCAAAATAGTTACTTTTATTAGAGATGGGAGACGAACAAATTCGTGTCTTGTTTATGGTTGAACCGAGCCGAACCAGAACTTGAAACTCTCAGTTACGAAGCAAACTATACGAAATGATTTTAATCCTAACCGAACCAGTCGATATTTTATGAATTCCGCGCTGAGAAGAAGCCGCTTGGCTTATAAATTTTTAACACTGACCACATGCACCTAGCATTGTTTAATGTTTGATAATTTGTTTGGATTCGAGCCATTATCGGTTTGTTAGCTCAGTCAAAATGCCAAATTTTTTTCAATTACGCAGCTGGCTGGTTTGAATGCTATCTTTTTTTTTACATGTTTTACTTTTATTATTCTATAATTTTAAATATCAAACGCTTCAAGCTGGGATACAAAAACAACGGAATATATTACGCTACAGTGGCGGTTCTGGGAGTGAGGGTTGTGAGTAGTAGGTTGTATCAATTTGTAAAAAAAGGGTCGCCAGCCTAACTTTCTTGACTCCCGCCATCAAATTTTACAATATTTTTCAAACATTTTCAAAATTTTTATCCCTCGTCAAAGTTGTCTCTGCCGGCCACTGTTAATTACAATCCATTCATAAATATGCTTGAAAAATTCATCAAATGCAACTACCATGTGATAATATTTATATTTTATGTTTATTCACCTACTGTTGGCGTTTTTGTGTTTTTTTTTTAAAAAAAAGCTGTTAATAAATTTTTTAATAAAAATAATAATATTATTATGTATTTTAGTGCTTTGCGTGTTTTTTCACCATATACATCTGATACCGGAATGTGTCAGATGTTTTTTAAAAGCCAAACAAACTATACCGTGCTGCCTAGATGCTTCGGCTACAAGGTGAGGAAGTTTTTTAAAATAAAAATTGAAATGAAAAGTCGGTTTGAAAAGTTGTAAATTTTCATCATTTTACTTTTTTTTTATAAAAAAAGTTATACATACTATTCAAATTATCTAGTTATTTTAACTGAACAAACTTCATTTTACAGAATATCCAGAAAACCATCCAAGTTGGGCCGTGCGGACTTGTTGAAAGAAAGTTTTTTAATTGTTTCATTTAAATGTTTCAACTGTTGAATTGTTCACCGTGCTAGCAGCTTTGTTGCTGAGATATCCGTAATAACATGCGACTCATCAACATAATGCCTGTGACATTAAACGACTCATCTAAAAAAATTTAAATACATAAGCGCTGTTGAACATCGCGAAAATAGTGCTTTATAAGCTAATTATTGATAGATTGGTTGATTGATTGATTGATTGATTGATTGATTGATTGGTTGATTGATTGATTGATTGATTGATTGATTGATCGATCGATCGATCGATCGGTCGGTCGGTCGGTCGATTGATTGATCGATCGATCGATCGATCGATCGATCGGTCGGTCGGTCGATCGATCGATCGATTGAATGATTGATTGATGGCATGCATACAATGATTGCTATTAGAGAAAGTTTCTGCTATTTACTCTATAGATTAAAATTTAATTAAGCATTTTTATAAATGAGTTTTTCTTCTATGGAAAAATAATGAAAAATAAGCCAATCTAATTCATAGAGTTTATTTTACAGATGTTAAAAATTTAAAATAATCAAATAAATTGGGAACGTTTACAGATGTGATGGATGCAAATGGTTGCGACATTCCATTCACGTACGGGAGACAGCTCCACAGGAACTGCGTGTCATTCAACAACAGCGCTTGTTTTACTTTCTGCCTCGATTCATCCTATGCTCTGAGGCGGTGCAACCCTTACATCAGTAAGATTTTGCTAAATGACGTGACTTTTATTTTCCCTTTATATTATATAGTTTTCTTTCTACGTTCTGAAAATTTACTGAACATATTCAAACTAACAATATCTTTCAGTTATAGTTGAGCTTTTCGAACGTAAATAATAATGAAATGAAAAAGCTAAAATAATTATTCTATTGAAATAGTAAAATTCATTCGTTAAAAACTGAACCAAAGCTTTAAAATAGAAATTAGCTTTGGTTTATTAATTTGAATGCCAACCGCCATGGGTGCTCTTCCAGTCCTAATTTTTGAAATGAATATGAGGAATTCAGTCGGAAGTTTGACTGTTAACATTAAAAAGCGTCAACAACAAAGAATAAGAGCACTGCAATTAGCAATGCAAATAAAAAGTCTATTTCAATTTTTTCGTTTTAACGAACACATTGATCTGACTACTGCAGCGTGAATTTTAACGACTGTTAATGAATTCTGATGCCCTTTTTTCTTTTAGAATTTAAATATAAAAATGTTTACTTCTAGCTCGCAAAATAAAATTTTTAGATTATACAAAAGTTAACGTAAACGAGACGTACAACGTGAATGGAAGTTTAGTGAGCCTTCAATCGGTCAACACTGGATCATCATCCAGCAGAGAATGGATACTTCAGTTTCTTTCAACAAAAACTTCCCCACGTACGAGGCTGGTTTTGGGGACCAGGTCAACTTCTGGATCGGACTGACAACCATTTACGAAATTACAAAAAATCAAAATTACAAGATAAGATTCGAAATGCAAAATTCAATTAACAATTGGTACTCGGCAGAATATTCATTCTTCTACCTGGACCCACCATCTTCACAGTACATTTTGCGGCTTGGGTCATATGTAGGAGACGCAGGTGATGCAATAAATGCCGGTGAATCGAGTGGTGGAAAAGTCACAGGTTATCCATTCTATACTTACGAGATATCATCCCCTGCATGTCAAGCTGTCTAGAACGGTGGGTGGTGGATGAACAACTGCAACATGACTAATTTGAATGACGGAACTCCTCGATGGCAAACTTTGAGCCTCTATTATTTGAAAAAAACAAGAATGTTCGTGAAAGCATTCATGTGAAGAAAAATTGAATAGAATCCACTAGAGGAACAACAATTTTAATATCTAACAACGTGTGTTTTTCTATCAAAATACACCATAGAATAATTTTTAAACTGTCAAGTAATTTTAACAGCAAAAAAACTTTGTAAATTATATTTCATATAATTATCTATGCTTACGTATTTTTTGAATATTATTCTTTGCTTATAGCGTGGCTGTTACCATCCTATATAAATTTTTAACACATGGTCAGTTTTATTATTGTGTGTTAATAGCTTTTTGTTTGTACCTGGAATTTAATTTTTCTATTTTAGATAATTAAATCAGGTTATCAAATGCAAACTTATAATTTTTTTAAAATTTTGGACAAATTCTTGGATCTCTTTTTAATTTATGTGTTAGAAGGTTAACATTTAACAAGATTTAACAAGTGATGGTCAAACATCAAAGATTTGAAAATTTAAAAAATTAATTTTATTCTTCATGATCAACAACATTAACAGGAAAAAAAATAAATTTATAACAACTACACAAATTACATGGTAAATATTTTATTATTTACAAAGCATTTTAATTTTTAAACAATCATATGATTTATTTTAATTATAATAATTTTAAACAATTGTGCATAAATGTTAATAAAAAATTGCATGGTTCAACTTGTGTGCAAAAGTCCCAGCGACATCAAATGAGAATATAAATAAATAATAATCTACCATAAACAAATAATTTCATTTATTTTCAACCAACATACGACACGAATTGAAATATTCCTAATAATCAAACTTCCTGGAAGTCATCCATTATTATTCGTCATAAAATATAAGGCGACGTTTCAATGAAGATAGAAACTATTTCCTCGCCGTCTGCATTTTTCTTTTTCTTATATCTGTACTGCACAGCTACGCAGACTCCCATTTTTCTCCTGCAAATTGGACAACTTGTTTTGTTTATGAACCATTCACGACAACACTGGTAGTGGAATGCATGCTTGCAGACCAATTCACACACGAACATGTCTTCAACGAACTCATCTAAGCACACGATGCACTGATCGCTTGTAAACTTTCCTTTAACATATGGCAACCTGTACCTCCTGTTGAAAGGAATGCCATCGTAGTAGCGATCTTTTTTAAGAGTTATATTTCCACTGAAGTATAGATTGTTGAAAGGCTTGGTTTCATTGACAAACATATTTTCTAGCCGTTTTGGAAAATTCATATCTTGAAGTGTCTTCATAATATGATAAAGTTTGACTTTCGAATGTGATTGAAATTTAATTAACCAGTTCATCCTGTTGGGTGGGATTTCATCGATCACAGAAACAAGACAATGTGTCATATCTGAAATGTCTTCCGATGTTAATTCGTATTCGCTACAGTTTTCTTCCAGATATTTCCTATACCGCGCCTCTTGCAAGTCCTTTACTTTATCCCGAAATGTTAAAAAAAATTTCTTGACTTCTTCATCGATTGTTTTTTTGAACAATTTTTCGTACAAGGTACCCTTTGTTTTTCTGAACAATTTTCCGTAAAAGTTACCCATTGTAATATTCACTCACAATTTGAATAAAACATGAATTTTTTAATTTTATACCAAAACACTGACCAGATATAAATTTTATTTAAGTACAAAATAACTATCATTATTTTCAAATCACAATTGTTTGTTTCAACTAATCATTGAACATAACCCAGCTCTTATTTAAAGCTATACATACTTACTATAATTATCCAAATATTGAAAATAGTATCAAATCACGATTTTTATAAAATGGAATATTTTAAATTTATTCACGAAATGTTGAACTTGTGACTTAATTCAAATAATACCAGCAAAATACTTTGAGTATTCAAAAATGTGATACCCCTTAACTGTGTACACAAGAAGTCACATGCTTCGTATGCTTTATTTGCATTTTTATGCTTTTTGAGATTAGCATTCTAAACAAACCTTGTCTATATATGTAATTTAGTTAAAAAAGGGCGAAGTTTATTTGCATTAGACATACAATTTTTCAAAAGTTTGACTTATTTTATTATTTTAAACATTAATTAAGCAACAGCATGCAGTTAATAACGTTCGCTATAGTATTAAATAAAATTTTATTCGTGACCAATTTTAAACCTCCAACCTAAAAAATATTTCACATGATCAAATAATAAACAATCCTATCACTTGAAGCAAAAATTGTACGAACGCTTAAAGAATCCATAACGCTAAACAAATGAATAAATATTATATTTCTAATGATTACGGCTCGCTTGTTGAACACTCAACAAATCAATCCCCGCGTTGGGTTTGATCATCATTCTACTACAAACTGCATTCAGAAAATGCCGGTCCATGAACTCCATTAAGCCAATTTTCTGCTCTTGACGACGCCACTCAGTTCCTTGAAGAAAGGTCATTATCCTGGTCTGGAGTGGAAAACATCATGCCGTTGTGGTAAAAAGAGGGGCAATCTCTCACCTTTTGGACATCGCTCTGACCCCCGCTAAATCTAGAAAAGTTCAGTAAGTACTTGTTCAATTCAGAGCTCATCTGGAAGTATTTTTTTCACATTTTTTCACATAAATTTAAACAACTAGCGCAGAACAGAAGATTTGACTTTTTTTTCGTTATTTCTTCCGCTGCCCGAGTGAATCTGAGAGTAGAATCAAGTTCATTAAATAGAAATAAAATGCAAGACACCGTATAATGTTATATTGTTAAATTTATAAGAATGGTATAAATAATGATGGTAAATCAATAATAATGAATAACATCCCATATTTTAATTTCGATAACAACATAGATAACATTTTTAATTATTATTTCTTTCACTTGTTATTAACGGCAATGGCAATAATGATATATTTTTTTCTCGTTTTCTCGTCAGTTCCAAACACAAAAATATCCATCTGTCCAATGTTGCGAAATGGTACCTTTACCAACTTCAAATTATCAACTCACCAGGACAATTTCTAACTATCAAAAACTTCCAATATGTTCAGTTTGGAAAGGGCTTAACTTTAACACGGATTCGTTCTGAGTCCGGGTGTAAAACGGATACTCAATGCATCCATTAGGTCGCAATTTTCAGAGCAATTTCAGAAATAAAATTTTTTTTATATTTTCATCTATTTACAATAAAAAATTATTAACAAAATTAGAAGAAAAAATGTAAATGAAGCAATTATCTACCAGCAATCATTGATAATTGGTAGCACTAATGTAAACAATTATATTGTAAGAACAAACAATAAGACAGTTTTAGCGCGTCAGTCCAAACAATCAGGACCCATGAAAACGTTTATTACAAAGACTCATTAAGTTATTAGCGTCTCTAATTGCTTTAATTGATTGTTTTGAAGCAAATAAAACATTTAATGTTTAAATTGCTACACCATATCATCGTTAGTTGTCATACAAATGATACCAATGTTGGTTGTTAGGGAGGTGTAGACCAATTAATGATGCGTGACAACACGTTTACCTGGCTTGTTTAATGAAATGGTCATAGAAATATTGATGTTAAGCGTGAGTTACATCGTTTTAAGAAAGGGAAAAGGAAAGCAATAGACAAGATTTGATAGTAAAATTTCCGAAGTTTTGAAAAAATTCCTCCATGAGACGTTTTTGATTAAAAAAAATTAAAATGTGGTTTATTTTAAATTTATTGGTGGTAGGTTTATTACCATCGTCAATTATGTCCCCAGCTTTGCCATTTGATAAGAAATATCACATGGTCGTAGATGAAGATAACCCGAAGTGTTACCAATCCAATCCCATCCACGTACTCCATAACATGAGATCCGTACTGGAATGTTCCAACAAATGTTCCTATTATGTTCCTAAGATCAACAACAGTTTAAATTGCAACGCATTCAACTACATCACTAAGAATGGTAGTGACACAAACAGTCAGTGCCAACTGCTGCATATCACTTGTGGTGTTCAGCTTAAAAATGTTACAAATGGAACTCACTGCCTAGCTTACGAGGCTAGCTTTCTTTTCTATAATCTGTTTTTGAAATATTCGACGTAAAAATTTGTGATATAATTTATGACCATATAAAACAATTAAAAACAGAACGTAGAGGCCAGACAAGAAGCAAGTAAGTGGACTTTAGTTTCTTCATTACATTGCAGCTATCCAATTTTCTTTTCTCAAAAATTTCAAATGAATTAAAAAAAAAAATTTTGAATGTCAACGATTTTCAAATGTGTATGAAAATATAAATATTGGTAAGTGAATATTTAAATGAATGGAGAATTATTTTATTTTAAATTTCATCAATTAATTTGAACAAAAACATTATTATATGCTTTCATTTCATTCACGAATTTGAATATAAAAATATTGATTGAATGTTGAAAAATGTCTGTATTTTAGAGACGCTTCGAAATTAAAGAATTAAAATATTTTTAGCAAATATTTACCCTACGACTCTGAGCAAATCCTGCAACTTTCCATTCACCCTCAACGGTGGATTGTTCTACTCTTGTTCCAACTCACTACCTGGCATCAGCAATCCTTGTGCTTTCTACATGTGTCTCACTGATAACAGGACGTTGTCCATCTGTCTTGATCCTCAAGGTTGTCGTATTGTTATCTCATCAACAAAATGTCTTAATTTTCATTAAAACATTCATCCGGGTAGCCGACTCCCGGTCAACCCAGCCGTCCATCCTTTCGAGGCTGGTAAATGAGTAGACGACGTAAGTTGTCGCATGTTGGCTGGCGAAATGGCTCAGAGGTTCAAATGCGCGCTGAGTTAAACATCTCATTGGCTATCATATACTCAGCGTATATGATGCGGTGCTTGCACCTGCACATAAAATACATGTGTGCGTCGTGTGAAAAGGATAAACAGCCTTTGTGGTGAAGATGGCTGCTTCATATCATTGGTTGAAGATATGAAGAACATAATAAAGATATATAGATAATATATCTGTAACATTGTAAGTGGTTCTGCGTATGTCAGAGCTGCAATAATAAAGACTAATAAAAAAAAACGTAGCTGGTGTAGAAATATATACCATATGTATGAATAACATTTTGTTGAAAGAACTAGGACTAAAAAGAACTTTTTCTTGAATTAATTCTTCATTGAAAAATAAACCTTAGTCTACAATGCCGTCAACAAGACAATTCTTTTGGACGTTCCAAAGTTTGATAATTCAACTCCTGTCACGTCCGTTAATGGATGGATTGTCATTCAGCAGAGGATTGATGGCTCGCAAAGTTTTAATCAAACGTGGGAAATTTACAAAGTATACTTATCTTTTTATTCTTTCCTTTCGAATCATTTTCTCAAAGGTAAATGTCATTAATAAAAATAAACTCTGCTAGGAAGGATTTGGACTTCACAACAAAAATTTCTGGTTCGGCTTGGAGAAAATGCACCTGTTAACGACATCGGCTGATTACAGGTTGAGGTTTGAAGTTCTTCTACAAGGTGAAGGCTGGGTCTCTGATGAATACGATCATTTTAGGGTTTGTTTTTTGCAATTGTTAAATTGACAAAAATCTCCCTTTCATTATTTTTAATTTGAACTTTTTTCCGTAAATATTGAAAAATAATATTCATTAAACTTTACACAAATGTATTCGAAAATTAAAAAAAACTGCCAGATAAACTCGGAACTGGAAAAATATTCCCTCAACGTCTCCGGATACTGTGGAGACAAAAGAGACGTTTTGAACGATCAAACTGCCAGTTCTCGCGTCCAAAACGGCATGAAGTTTTCAACTCCAGATCAGGACAACGATAAAAATTTCCAAGGTAGTTGTGCTGAGAAGTATTGGTCGGGGAATTGGTACAACGATTGCTACCTACAGAATATCAATTGCGAGAATGGTCTAGGTTACTTCTATTACGCGAATTCTTACACTGTTTTCTGTAGGATGATGATCAAACTTAACGTGTAGAAAGTATACCTATTAAATTCACGATCTAAGATTCTAAGATGGTTTTAACTATTTCAATCTAGAAACCTTTGGAATCTTTATATTATTTCTCCCAGAAAACATATAAGTTGATATAAACGAACACAATACTTTTTTTAAAAAATAATTGTTTAATAGTTATTAACAATGCTTAAAATAAAATATAGCGAACATATAGCGCTTTGTATTTTTACACAATCCAATGACATTATATCAGATGATTTAAACTAGAGGAATCATGAAATGTAATATTTAGGCAACCTGTTAAAGTAAAATATAACTTCAAATCCCGGCTTTTGTTATTTTAATAAACCAGAATATCCACTCATATATAATAAATGTTCATATTTTCAGTAATTATCAACAAACATTTTTGTAGTTTTACAAGTTTTATATATTGATGTGTTGTATTTTTTATAAATAATCATTAATATAATTCTTTTACAACTTCCGCTTATTGCACGTAAACACGTATACAATGGTTGGGATGATTGGTTTATTTATAATTCAACGATTACAAACATTGATGTAGAAATGTAAATCATTGAATAAATATTTATACGTGTCAGATCGCGTTTTAAGTCAGGTCAGTGTTTCTTTTTAACAGTTTCAACTTCAAAACGTCAAAATTCAATAATGCATTATCTAACATATTGCTCTCTCTTACATATTACAATTGAAAAAATTTTTCTGGACGTATCAAAAAATGTCCGATGGTAGTAGGGCTTTAATCCTAAATAAAATATGGTGACATTTTAAGGTTTTTTATTTGAAAATTTTTTTATTAAAACTACTGTATTTTATTAAAATAAATAACAAAAATTTATGATTTTCGACTGATGGAAACAGTTTTAGCTTTATAATTATATATTATAACTATATTGAGAATTTAACAATTTAACCTCAATCCTATTTGAATTTGAAATCAAATCAAACAAAACGCCAGGTCCAGATGATACAGTTGTTGAAGAAATTAAATGACTTGACGAATTTGGCATTGAAAAAGTGGCAGAAATTTTGAATGAGAGTAAAAACAGCGGCACACCTAGAGACTTTCATTCCAAAGACCTCAAAAAAATGAACTTAATAAATTCACTATAATTATCAATTTTGCAAGAAAACCACTCACACAATAAATTTCATAACGCACCGTCGAGTGTAAAACTTCAAGGAACATTTTCTCATGAGGAACGAATAGTTACCACGCGTTATTATTCGCGAACAATGTTCACAATTTGCAAAAACTAAACACCGGAACAAAATATGAAGATACAAAAATTATCATCATTAAAATATCACCAGCTTCCTTACTGCTGTCTGCCTGCCTTCGTGTTTGAGTCGACAGGTGTGAAGAGGTTGTTGAAGAATTTATTGAAAAAATAAATTAATAAATTAATGAAATAATAAATGGATAAATGAATGAGTGAATGAATGAATGAATAAATGAATTAATTAATTAATTGATAAATGAATGAATGCATGAATGAGTGAATGAATGCATGAATGAGTGAATGAATAACTAAATAAATGAAAGGAACAAAAAATTAACGGAGGAATAGGGTAAATTAAAGAATGAATTTATTTAATATTTGACAAATGTGCGGATGGA